AGAAAATCTGTCTTATTTTCTGCTCTTTCCTTTGTTGCACATATCACAAATTATCATTTCACACATTTTTCAGAACACTTCTATCTTTAATGTCTACCTCCTCCTCCATAGTACATTGCAAGTTCCACTAGAGTAGCGACCTGTCTGTATCGTTCACTAAGATTTACCCAGAACTAAGATTATCCAGTGTCTGGGTCATAAGAGGAATTTATTAAATACTTTGGGAGGAGAACCAGGCCCACAACCATGGGATGCTATTCACACACAGTAAGCATCATTCCCGTTCAATAATGATTAGCTAGAAACACAAAGTATCAGAAGACTCCTTAAAATCATTCTCAAAGGTAAAGACAATAGAAGTAAAAATGGCAATCTCAGCTGCCTTTAGAACAAGGACACATGATCATCCCAGAGTGATATGTGATATAGGAATGATATACAACCATCAAATGATACAGGGGAAATACTATAACTCCCAGCCTGCTAGATGTACAATGTGTTGAGTTTGTTTTCCCCAAAATCAAAGAATGAATTCTAAGGAACAACAGAGGTTAAGAGTAGAAAATATTTATTGAGGGACAGCTAGCTTCTGTCTAAGAGACATAGAAGGGGACTTGGAAAGTGGGCTGCCAAAGACCCCATTTTTCAGGGGACGTTTTATAGAGCACAATCATGTGGATACAATGTGTGTAAAAGCTATGACCAACCAAGAAGATTATAAATGTGATTGCTTAGGTAACATTGATCCAGTAGGGAAGCAAGTCACATAGTAAGTGCATATGAAGGGAACAAGGAACTTTTCAGTAAGGGATGAGACCAAGGCTCTTGGTCACTCACTGAGGTCTGATGTGTATCTAGAAATTACTAGGCCAGGTGTTACCACTTATCTTCGGTCTGGTTATTCCCTCTTTATCTTGAGGCCTGGACTCCAACAGATGTACCTCTGGCCACAGTTGTAGTGAGTTTTCATCTTTGCACTGATTCTCTCAAGGGCCAAGCCGTATCTTATTGCTTGTAATATTGCTACTTAGCTTACCTCTATAATAATGCCAGAAAGGAGATCTCCTAGAAAGTATACTCTGGGATGATTCCTAACCTGTGGATCAGCAGTCACTGCAGAAGAACATGGGAGGGATGTACCAAGTAGAAGAGAAGAGAAGAGAAGAGAAGAGAAGAGAAGAGAAGAGAAGAGAAGAGAAGAGAAGAGAAGAGAAGAGAAGAGGCAAAGCTTCTAACTGCATAGCAAACACTAGGCCTATAATGAGTGTTTTCTTGATTTCCTGTTTACCCATTTGTTTACATGCATAATATTTTCTTGGCCTTTCTATGTAGTGGACATTCTGGAGGCATGTAGAATATACAGGGTAACAGTCATACTTATACACTGATGTTACTTTTTTGGGGGGAAGAGTACTGAGCATTGAACTCAGGGCCTTTGCACTGACCTACATCCTCTGCCTGTACTTCAATTCTTTTTTTGATTTTGAGACAGGGTCTTGCTAATTTGCTAAAATGCCCAAGTTGGGCTTAAACATGCCACAGCCTCCCAGCGTGCTGGGATTACAGACATGTGCCACCCTACCTTGCTCTAATTTTTAAATAAAGTAATTAACAAATATAAAGATTAGTCATTAACAAATCCTAAAGATTAACAATAATTACTCCATCTTTACTGAGCTCATCTTATGTCTCAGATGCTGGGTTAAGTGCCTTCTGTGGAACATCTCACTTTTAACCTTCACAACAATAAAATGCACACCCGCTGAGACTGGGATGGGAGTTGTAACCATTCTACAGAGAGGAGAGGTAAGATGGTGCTTTTCCCAGGTCACACAGCCCACAGATGGCAAGGCTGAACTGGAACCCAGGTAGTTTGGGTCAAAAGCCTAAGTAATTTCACAAGCCATTGGTCACCTTGATCCTTCTATAGCTCTGCTATGGAGAGGGTGCATCATAGGACAAGTTTCCAGGAATGACAGGAGCACCCCCTGGAAGCATGACCTAGTGAGAGAAATATCTTGTCCTTCTCATTTTGTATGATGCTTCCTAGAGCTGTACACACCCCAGCCACAGACCCTTCTCCCTGGAACACACCCTCCAGTCTCATCACCCTGATTTTGCCTCCTTCCCTTCTACATTTTCATTCCAGAGACATTCTTCCCCCAAACACCCTTCACCTTCCCTTTGAGGTTGTCCCTGCCCCAAGCAACCACGTTTGGTACCAGGCATCCTCCTCTGCAGCTGTCTGTGACATTCAGTGAGCTCTACTATGGAGAGGTCTGTACTCACTCTCCTCTATACCAGCGGAGCCAGACAAAAATGTTGCCTTCGAATCCTGCAATTATCTCTCCCCTAGATTGCAGCTATTTAGCTGTAGACACCTCTGCCCAGCCTTCCTCCGTGCCCAGCAAGCTCAAGGCCTGCGAACAACAGAGCAGCAATTTAAGTCTGTTGGGAAGTCCTCAGCCCTGAAGCCACTTCTCTTTGGGTGTTGGCTTAAGAAACATTGATTCTTTTTCTGTCCATGCTCCTGTTTTCTACTCCACACTTAGCCCCTCACCAACTCTGCTGAAGAGGCTGAGAGTGATGTTTGTTTGTTCATTCCTTTAATTATTCACCCTTCGTGACAGGTGCTGAGCTATCCGGGTACAAATTCCAGAAATAAACTGTTTGTCTTTCCCTAGGTGATGAGATGACAAGAGATACAAATTTTATTGAGGACTAGGAGACCAGCTTGCAAAGGGAGTACTGATTACAAAAAAACTTGAGATATAAGCAGGAGTTGGATGGGGAAAGAAGAGAAGAGTGGAAAGTATCCCTAGTATGTATAAAGAGTGGGATGAGAAAGGGCTGGCCGGTCAAGGGAAACGATACCTCGGAGAGAGTGTGGGATAGATATTGGGTATTGAAAGAGAGGGAGTGGGGATGTACTAAAGGAATATGGTTTCTCTACACCATAAAAAATATTATCTTCTCTTAAAGGCAATGGGGAGCCACAAAAGGTTTTAAGCAGAGGTCTTCTCCATGTCTCATTCAGGCTCTTAACCATTTTGTATACCTTTCTACCAGGAGATCTTTGTTTACTACCACGTTAGATCTGGGTAGTCAAAGACTATTCCCCCCCACCCATCTTACTTCACCTGATCAGGGCATATTCTAAAACTGAAGTAATCAGAGTCTTCTAGGGGTGAGAAGAGAGGGTCCAGGGTCTCTTCATGTTGGGATTACAGGGATGTATCTTTACCCACCAGTACTAAAGTTCTCTGCTGCATGCCAGCCCAGCTCCCTGCTGCTGAGGAACCATGATTAGTACAGGGGAATTACCACTAGGGTGGGAGTCACGATGTCTGGTCAAGGCCCTGCCTCCACCCACTTTGTGATTTGGGGTGGATTTAATTCACTTTTCCAGATCTCAGATTCTCCATCCAGAGAATGAAGTCATGGGAGGCTCTTTCATATTTGCTATTCTATGCACATAATGAGTATCTAAGAAAATCAAAATGCTATCTGATCAGGCCAGGACCCCAAAACACCCTGCACATCAGTGCACCATGAATAAAACTTTCTCCTTGGGGCTGGGGATTTAGCTCAGCAGCATAAGCACCTGCCTTGCAAGCAGGCAGTCATGAGTTTGATACCTGGTACTGATAAAAAGGAAAAAGACAAAAAAAAAAAAACCCAAAAAACAAAACAAAACAAAAAAACCCAAAAAAACAAAACAAACAAACAAAAAAAAAACATCTTTCTCCTTGGAATTACCAATATTGGTAGGCTGGTGAACAAAACATAAAAAACAAAAACAGAAGTTTCCCAGGATTTCCCAAGAGAACCATGAATGTAAAGGGGAAACAAATGTTGATCCAGTGCTCTGATAGCACACTATGAAACACTCAGGGACATTTCGCCATGCACTCATACAAGCATTCTGAAATAGTTATGTGGATAACTCATGTGTATGCCTTTATACACACATGCATTGATCTATTTGCCCAAATTTCCTGAAGATTTTTGTGTACCTCAAATGTCTTTTATAAGGATTAGATGTCTGTCAGCATTATGCAAGAATTAGTAGAATTTATTTATTATCTGTAATCTTTTTTTAACAAAATCTCCTCTCAAGTATCATCAAAGGAGCATTAGAATAAGAGCAAACACTTCAGCTGTGTAACATTCAGTTCCTCTTTCCATGGCAGGTCCTCCATATCTTATATCACAAGTTCTGCAGCTTCCGAAAAGACATAATGACCTCTAAGACTGTCTTTCAGCTTGAGATCAGCTCACAACAGCACTTATCAACATCTTGTCACCCAACTTATAGTGCGGATGGGAGGAAGGAATATAACCCTCACTTGCCAATTAAATCCCAGTTACTGGGTAATTTGCTCTAAGAATGGAGCTTGGAATCCATAATTTCACCTCCCATTTCCTCTTTTGAGATACCTTGCTTCTTGATCTCTTACACCTCTTAATGTGTAATGTGTGTGTGCATGCACGTGCAACAGCATGTACGGCAGGTCTATGTACTTAGTGGCAGGAAAGTCCTTGAAGGTTGAAGGGATAAATACAGAAGGCAAACAATCGCCATCCTGTCAAGCCCCAGACTGGAAATTTTTCAAGATGGACACAAAAATAGCAGTGTTTCCTGCATGTTAATTAACTTCTTCCAAGGGCAGGGGAGAATGTCCTTGAGATCTGGAGGTTAGAAAAGAAAAATGTGCAGCCCTGCGTGTGCACTTGGAGGTGCGGGCAGAACTTCCTTTCAAAACCAGGGGCTTTGCTGATTCATGTCCCTCAGAGCCCGACAGAGCTTCAGCACCGAGGACAGCAGTCACTGATTAAAGGGCTCAAGCTGCAGGGCTCCGACCATGAAAGGACTACCTGGCCATAGTTCTAGCCATCCTCACCGAATGAATTCATTGGTTACATCATCTTTCCAGGGACCCTCATTTCATGAAATACGTGCATATGAAGTGTATGTAAATGGAAATTTTATAACGCAATCAATTCACAAGCACATTTATTTATTTCCAATCAATCTTCCAGAAAGTTGAAATGGGAATCCTGAAGATTTGATGCTGGTTTCTGGAAAAAAAATGCATTTGAAGACAGTATATTTTGGTGATTAAGAGAAGGATACACAGGTATTATTGGCTCTCTCAGAATTTTGGACCAGGTACTGTGGAGCTGACTTGTGCCTTTATAGGTGTTTTCTAAAATCTCTGTCTTCTATGTTCCAATTGTGTTTCCTCAGTTGTGAGAACCCAAATTGTCTCCAAATATTGCTTAGCACTCCCTAAGGCTAAAATCCCTCACTTCCATTGAGAATCTATGAAATAGATGTATTTGGAATTGAATCCTGTTTCTGCCACTTATTAATGGACTGGGCAAATGACTATGCTTTTTCATCTGCAAAATGAAGACAACACTGACACTACCTTATTGGGTTACTGTAAAAACCAAATAAGATATTTCTTGTCAAACTATTTGCCTTAGTTCCAGGTATCTTGGGATCCTTCAATAGATGCTGGTGTCATCAATAAGGTTATTGATATCATTGTTGTCACCATCACCATTTCAGCCTGTCACAGTTCCACATAACACATTTAGAAGATGCTACTTATATCTACCAAGTATTTGGCATTCTTTTGGATAATAAATGTTCAAGGATATACATGCCATAGTCTTTTTCTCTGAAGAACTAAAAGTTCCAGATTTGAGCTCATGTTTATAAGTGCATGTGACTCTCACAGTAATGTATGCATGGGGATTTATTCTGTGTGTGCCAGTAAGGATGGGCTACGGTAACAGAATTCCCCAAATGTCAGCACTTTAAAACAACAAGGATTTCTTTTCCTGCTTATGTTCTATGCTCCTCATGAGTTGACCAGATACTCTGCCCTATGTTGCCCTCCCTCAAGGGCCCCAAACGGAAGGAATTTCTACCATCTGCAGTGTCTGCTGTTACAAGAGAAGGGAGGAAGGGGAAGTGATGAATCACACACTTGCCTTTAAAGCTTCTATCCAGAAAGTACATGCATTCAATCCCATTCATCTTTTGTTAGTCGTAGCACCATGCTAAATCAAAGGGAGAGAGGTATGTGAAATCCCACTATGTGGCTGGAAGGAGGACCAGGATGTTATCAGCCCTACTAATCTCTACACAACCATTTTGCCAGTGCTACTGAAATGTGCCATGGTATTGGTATATAACATTCTGTGATGACCTGCTTAAAACTTCACGGGAAGAATGCATGCTTTACATAAGAAAGCAAGGAGCAAAACAATGCCCACATCTGGTGATCTTGTTATCTTCTAAAAATAATTAACAAGAACATTTTAATAGGAGCAGGGCGAGACCAACTCCACTAATTTACAGCTCTAATAGGAACAATCCACATCAAGACTCCATTGGCCATTTCATGTTGGCTTCCAGAGGCCCCATTATTAATTCAATTCTAAAGTGATCTCTCTCATTCCCAAGGGGTATATCCTAGTAACTACGTCCTTATAATAGTCTATTTGATTAAAATTTAACAAGCTATGTTATTGGCAAATAAACTATTTATTTCAGTGCTATTTCCAATGCCAAAAGGAATGTTTCAAAGAAAGGAATGGAATTGACACACTAAAGAGACGGTCATTAATAATTTACGATAGCCAAAACACACATATATACATATTCTTTCCGGTGATGGCATTAGAGCATAAAAAGCCAGAGAAGTCAGCCAAAGTCTTCTGGTTTCCAATTGATTAAAAGGGTGGAAACTAATAAATTGAACTCTGGCTTCCGTGTGGTATGGTGGAGAAACGTTTTTTTTAAAAATGAGATATAACTCTGCTATTAACTTGTTATGTGACCTTGGGCAACACACTTAACCTTTGTAGGCTTGCTTGTTTCTGTTTCAAATGAAACTAAGAAAACTTTGTTTATTTAAACCTTAGGGTTTTGTCAGGATAAAATGAAAGATGTAAGCATGCTTTGAAAATGCAGATTATGAGTTATACATTTGTGTATCATATGATGAGTATGTCTTTCTCTTCCTTGTTCCTCGAACCAAACACCAATTTACCTTACAGAAATTTGTGGCAAAAAGTGCTTTTTTTCTCATGTCTTTTCGGGCATTTATCCTCAGAGAAAACTCCAAAGTTTGGTTTCAGCTGATAATGAAAAGATTGATCTGAGCAAATTGCTCGATGGACCCTCAGGTCTCTTGCTTTACTGATAATGACAATAGTTAGGACTTGTTTAGCATCTATCTAATATATTCCAGGAATCAGGCCAAGCTCTTTATAGATTGTGTGTTGTTTCCCACACACCTCCATTCCCAAGATGAGGTGGATACTGTTAACATTCCCATTTTCTAAAGAAAATTGAGGTTTGCAGAATTGCATTAGTTGTTCAAGGCCATCCTGGAGAGCAAGCAATCAGCACACTATCTCAGATCTGTCTGGCTCCAAATCCTCCACACTCAGCCACCTTTCTTTTGGTCCTTTTTTAGTTATCTGAGGATGTGATATTCTGAGCTGTCATCTGCCTGCCCCATCAATAGTGTGGGCAGCTCTGAGAAAATCAGAACACCTTTCTGAAACATGGAAACATCAATTAATTTGGATTCTAGAGGGCATGAGTGTCATATTCATTTAACTGAGGGTTTTTTCCTAATTTAAGGTACTTGAATTTCCTGTGCCTAAGACAGTTTATCCTAATACTCATGACAGTTTCTAAATCATACAATAGGGGTTTTAAAAAATCAATAGAGAATATGCTGGTTGGATGGTTGGATAGATGGATGGATGGAGGGATGGATGGATGGATGGAAAATTGTAAATAAATGAATTAATGAAGAGATTTCCCACTTAATGCATAGATAAGTAGACAAACTGATTTAACAACTGTGAATAGTCTCCAATTTTTGTCTGTTTTGAAATCTTGCTTGACAAAGAGTAACCTTTCATATGCCCTACCAAATCTGGGTCACCAATATAAAGTATTTTCCACTGTAGTGGCCTCAGGCTTATTCATTAAGATATCATTTTTAGTCTAAATTCTAATGTGTTATTGCCCAAGTGCTAGATGAAGTTTTTCTTGATAATAATAGCAATGGTTGTTGTTTACTGGGTCTCTTTGATGTGGCTTTTTATTTGATTTACTGTGAATGCATAACAAGCTTGTAATGTTGATATTACTGGTCCCATTTTACAGATGGAAAAAAAAATCCTGACTGTTAGAGAGGTAATCTAATTCTAACCAGATAAATAGGATCAGCAAATAGATTCAGGTGTAAGTGAAGGTGGCTACAAATTGTGTACTTTTTACCTTCCTCTAACTGGAACTGAAAACATGTTCTCCACGTCTGGAAAATAGCCTCACCTGGAGGTTTGTTAGAAATACAAGTTTTGGGGGCTGGGGATTTAGTCAGGGGCATAAGCACCTGCCTTGCAAGCAGGTGGTTATGAGTTCGATCCCTGGTACTGATAAAAAAAAGAAAGAAAGAAAGAAAGAAAGAAAGAAAGAAAGAAAGAAAGAAAGAAAGAAAGAAATATAAGTTCCTGAATCTCAGACAGACCTACCAAGAATCTCCAGGAGTGGGATTTGGCAATCTGGGCTAGAACAAGCCCCATAGGTGTCTTTTGTTTTGTTTAGTTTTGGTTATTTTTATTTTTATTTATTTATTTATTTTTGTACCAGGGATCAAACTCATAACCTTGCACTTGCCAGGCAGGCACTTACACTGCTGAGCTAAACCCCCAGCCTCTCCAGGCATTTTTGAGGGATACTCCAGTTTGAGAACTACTGCACTAGTTCAGAAAGTTTGGTTCTTTCGGCCTACAAGGATGCATTTATACTAAATCATCCACGCTGTTGCCTTGTGTTGACTGGAGACAGGGAAGATACTTGTGCCAGGAACAAATTTCATAGCCCTTTCCTTCTCTTCAATATAACCATCAACCCTTGTCAAAATCCCTGGAAGGGCCTCCTATCTGCCTCCCTACAACTCGTTCTGCCTATTTCCAGAAGGGGTCTTTGATTTAAGTGGTCCTGGACATGTCACTCTCCTGCTTTTTCACCATGAGTGGTTTCCTACATCTCTCAGAATGGAGTGTAGATACCCACCTATGGCCTCCAGGCTGCAAAGCCAGCTCCTGCCCGCTCTTCCAGGCTCATCTCACAGTTTTCTCACTCACTGTTTTCTGCTCCAGCCATCCCTTTTATACCTTCACTCAATACTACCTGGTTTCCTTTATGGTTCTTCTGTATAAGTACATATATTTTGTATCTTTCGCTAGACAGTAACTTTCATGGGGTCAGCACTGTGTCTGTTTTTCTCAACAGCCTTATATCAAGCATACCTGACACATAGAGTGCTAAATAAACATTCATACATATAAGATCTTGGGTCTCAGCATCTCCTAGCATATGAGGAGTGATCAAAACTTATGGTGAATGTTTACATTTTAACTATTTATTATTTAACTACTATTTCAGTCATTAATCCCCCTCTATTTCCACTTCTTTCAAACTTATCTAATCCCTCTTGCTATTTTCTGAAGCAGTTCTAGAAGTCCCCTTTCGTGAGTGTCTCTATGAGGTGTGATCAAAAATGCAAGCTGCCCAGTGCCATGCAGGGGGAAGGCAGGCTCAAAAATGATATGTCCTCGCCCACCTTCTTAACCAGACCTAGAGCCCTCAGCCTTCTGCCTCTCTCTCAAAGTCAAAATGACCATGAAACATAAACATTTTAAGGTAATTCAGGACACTGAGGTGGTCACGACAGCACAACTAGAAACATTCATGAAAGGAGACTTCCAGGACTGCTTCAGAAAGTGACAGGAATGACGTGGTAAGTGCACTTTAAGTGTGTGAGAGTGCATTATTTTGAGGGAGATTAACGACAATGTGTCTTTTACTGTAATAATTTTAAAAATTTAAACATTCACTGTAATTTTTTTAATCACAACTTTTCTATCTTCCTGGAACCACTCTAGCATGATTTGTTACCCTTCTGTGGGACTATTAGATCAGATCTTGGGCTTTAGGAGCTACAAGTTCTGAATCTGAATCTTAGCTTCTCTGTCCACACAGAATGTGATCTTGGCTTTGTGATTCATTTCTCTGAGCCTCAGTTACCACACCTGTGCAGTGGGGGTGGCCAAGCACTTGGATAGATAAGTGAAATGCTGTGTGTCTCACCCTTGCTGTGATGCCTACCATACTGGGTCTGCCAGTTCCTTCTTCTCCCTGGCTGTATTGCTAGTTCTTCAAGCTTCTGGTGGCATACACCTTACCTAACAGATGTTCACAGACTACAAATCCACTGCAGATATCCACATGGGGACAGAGCCCAGGATAGTCGCCGAATAGCCTAGTGGTTATATACCAAGCTCCAGAGGCAGCCTGGGAAATTCATAGTTCCTCCACCTCCCAGTTATGTGAGTTGGTCGTGTTTTTGGCTTTCACCATGCTTTAGTTGTCCTCCCTGTAACTCAGCAACGGTGACAAAGGGCCTGTGCTGTAACAGGCAAGAATCAAATGCTTGTGGTGCACACAGACAGTGTCCAGCTTGAGCCAGCGTGTAGCAAGTGTGGAACCCTGTTAGTTCTCATTATTGTCATCGTCATCATCATCGCTCCTGTGACACAGCCTGGGAGCCAGAGGATACAGAAGGACTCAAAAGCAGGCTTTGTGCAGACTTTTGCCACATCAGATTCTCCCTTTCCCTTCTCCCTGTTGTTGTTTCTGTCTCCTTTCTGTACTGGCATTTCCAAAAGCGTGGAAGAGGATGAGCGGCTGCAGGGGCCTCATGTGCACTCCACTTTCTTTCCTTTGTGTGTGTATGTACAAAATCACCTTGAAGAGCTTTGGCTGTTTCCATGGAGTTGGGAGTTTCAGATATTTATCTCCCATCTGGTGGACCCCTGGGCTCTGTAATCCACATTCGGTATTCCACGGAGCTTCTATCACAGTGGCTCAGAAGTGCCTCTTTCCAAACACCCGCTGTGGAAGTGTCCAGAGCAGCCAATGGATTTCCAAAACCTGGAGATAAAATGGCACTTGTTCCTGTTAATTGATCCTGAAAGAAATGGAAAGCTTAGACACAGAGATGAAGGAATGGTAAGGAGAAACAAGAAGGTCTGCAGTCTGGGAAGAATTTCTAAGGGAGTTACGGGGAATGGGCAGACAGGAACTGATGATTTGGGGATTTCCTGGTTCTTATTTTAAACTCTTTCCTAAAGGATATATTCTACTGCATCTTTTTTCTCTCTGTGACACTGAGGCGCAGGGAATCTGAGGGTCTGTAGTGAGACCGAAGGAAGTAATTCAAAGTAGCTGAGGGAGAAAATCAGGAAAAGAACTGTTTGACTTAGAAAGATAACCTTGAGGGAAGTTTAAGGCAAGGCAAAAATAGAAGCAGGAGAGCCCCAAATAGCAAAGTCAACATTGAAGGGAATGTAGAGCAGAACAGGGGTGCAAAGTGAGCCATTTAGCCTGTTGTCTCCAGACCCCAGCCCTGACGGGGCACTGCCTATAGAGCTTTCCATAAATATAGATGCTGGAGTCCACCCCTCTACCACCATGTCCCATTGGATTAGATTCCCAAGGTGGGACAGGAAAGCTACACCTATGGGACAGCCCCCATGATTCTAAAGCAGCTTTAGAATACACTAGTGGGCATACGCTAGGATGCTATGGATTTAGATGGTTGAAACACAATCCCAGCAGCTGGAAACCACAACATCAGCCTCAGGACGCTTTCTAAACCTCTCTAGGTTTAGATAAGTTTTGAAACCTAGGAACAAAAAGCCCCATGGGAGAAAGGAGTAAGTGGGTGCCTGGGGGCATCTCCTTTGTGAGGAAGAAGAGAACATGGGTGCTAATGTGTGTAGCAACCCCTGGAGCTCTCCCCTAGCCAATGAGATGTAAATCTACCCTTGGAAGCAACAGAAAAGGATAGATTGCATTTTCCCAGACCAGTTGCATGGAGGCCCATTTAATTTTTGACATTTCCTAGAATTTGATGGTGATACCAGGTAATTCACTATCACTGAAGTCAGGTGTGGCTAGGTCTGTGCATCTCCAATATTTGCTTTAACTGAAGAAGCAGCCTTTAACCCAGAGTATTATAAACTTACATTTTTACCAGGATCATGGAGGTGCCATAAGTAGATGACGGGAGCCAAATGGGAACCAAGGTGAGGTAGGGGGATCCTGTTCTCTAGAACTAGCTGATAGTATAGCTCTATTGAGAGAGGAAAGCAAACCCTGTGTCTCCAGTTTTGATCTTCCTTAAAATTCACAAAAGAAGTGCCTGATGTTAAAATGTTGGCAATGAAGTTAAGTAGAGTAAAGTATTCTGCAGAACAAGAAAAATGTGTCCTCAGGCACTTTCTTTCCAGGAGCTTCTGCACACAGAGGAGGGGAAAAAATTCTGGCCGCTTTCTAAATGAATAGGCTTTCCAAGCAACCTGTCCACTCAATGTCTGTTTATCGGGCTAAGTGCTACTCTAAGCAGGAGGGATTTAGGTATGGCATCAGGGCTTCAGATTTCAGCACTGAGGAGTCTCACTGTCAAACTGTAATTTCCACACTGTGTTCCACGGAGGCATTGCGGGGCTTGTCTGGGTGGCTAGGGATCCAAAATTACCACTACTGCTTGAAGCAGAGGAGCTCCATTTTTAATCTGTTCGGAAGAGGGGGTAGTAGGTGCCCTTCAATTCTCCAAGTAGTACAGCTAAAGCCCCAGAATATGATGGTATATGGCCTGGGTCACATACAAGTATTGGTCACCCAGCCAGCCTGAGGAATCCCTTCTCTTGGCTTCATAACAGCTACAATGGATGAGGAATAGTTACTTTCATTCCTGTTCAGGCCATGTATTCTTATGGTCCAAAGCCTCTGGGGTCTGGCTTATGCCATGTCTTTGCCGTGCCTGGAAACAGAACCAGATGACAAGGGATTCAATGGGGAGTCTTGGAACTGGCCGTCCTGACTTCAGAGATGCCAAAGCTGCCTTCTTTCCATTTCATCTGCTCCTGAGGGGGTTCAGAGACGAAACAGAGTGGGAGGGGAGACTGGAATGAGCTGTGAGCTGATGATGCAGAATGCTTGGTGCTTTGATATCACCTATCCAGAGGGGCTCAGGTGTTTGCTGCTCCTCAGGACTGGGGTCCTTCATGATGAATGATAGCATACTTGACGTGATATCATACTTACTATTTCTCCTCACACAAGCCTGGTAGATCCTTTAGCTCTAATTCTGGGATATATTTTAATCATATGGTTCTAAAGCCTCAAGGCCCAGCATGGCAAATATTGGTTGAGAGATGAGTAATTAAATATGAACGAACCTCACGGTAAGAAGAATGACAAAGGGGAGAAAGGGTAGAGCGGTACTTGGGAGCACAGACACATACCTGGATTGGAATCCTGGCTCTGGCTTTTTCTAGCTGTCTTAATCTTGGGCACATGACTTTCCCATTCTGAGTCTCAATAATACCATTAGGAAAAGGAAATGTATTAATGCTTGTCAAGACTCAGCACAAACTAAACATATAACATTGGATGCTAACACTATTTCTGTTTATCTTTCAATATTTGTCCCAAGTATTTATAGGAAAGATTTATATACACTCAAAACATGTATATTTAAGTGCCCATTAAGTTTTCCCAAATATGTGGCCTCTGGTACCCACATCCTACCCAAACGTAATGCATTTTCATCATCTCCAGAATTTTCCTCAGCTCTTTCCTCAGCCTGTTCCTCTCTCTCAGAGATAGCGACTATCCTGAGAATTTCTTTCCGTGATAGTTTTCACTTGCTTATTCTACAATGTCACTGAATCTGAATCGTGTCTTTTATGTCTGACCTATTTTGCATAGCGTGGTGTCTGTGATGCTCTTCCAGACTGCCACAGTTATAACTTTTCAATAAAGAGCTTGCATGCATCATCCCGATTGGACTTGGAAGTCCTCGAGGCTGGGCTCTGGGTGTTTAGAGCCTTGTTTCTTGGTACCTTGTCAGTAACTGGCACATGGTAGATGTTCATGGACTATTTGATGAGTAGATGGCTGAGTCCTTGGTGAGAAATCAGAGGGTGAGTGTGGCTGAGGCATGCTCTCAGTGAGTGAGGTGAGGACTCACATCTCATCCTGTACAGATCCAGCTCTTCTAGTTAGCAAAGGGAACAGGGTCTGAGAGCTCAGGGTTGGACTCAGCAGCATATGAGCCCTGTCTTTGTCATATACCAACTGAGAAGTTTTCAATCTCTCCAAACTTCAGTTTCTCCATTTGTAGTGTGGGTACGAACAGAACCTTCTCCATAGGGTTCTTAGAAAGACAAAGAAAGACAGCAGCCTTGCAGATGCCATAGTAAGAATTTGGGGACTACAAATCTTGATTCTTTCTGCCCATCCCTTAAAGAAAGTGGAACACTGCACACACACACACACACACACCATTTACTCCAAGCTCAAGCATCAAACTAGATTTATAATGGGGGGAATGGTAGCTATCACAGAACCTGAAAGGTAGCTGACCTAAAAATAGACTCCTCCTCTCACCTTTCTCTACCAGCTCGCAAGCAGGCTTCTGCACAGGCATCATTGGTCCAGGTCTCCCGCTGGAGAGAAGCATGAGCACCAGGGAGGGAGAGAAGATGTGTTTTTCCCCAAGCTGTTAGGAAAGGGAGGGTGAAGCTGTTCTCTCCGATTTGATTGATGTTGCGCTTTGGGATCTGAATTCTCTGATGTAATTACACTGTGTGCTCCGTGCGATAAGGAGATTAATCAGTCCATTACGTGGGGGGCTGTTTTACCCACAGATGAAAGTAATTGAACAGAGACATCGGACACTGCTAAGACCTTGCCAGCCAGCCAGCCTGTTCCAGTTATAGGCAGGTGAGTGGCCTCTGGACAGCGAGGCCATCTTCTCCAAATAGGAACAACCACTGTTACTGTCACATATGAGTCTGTCTCAGGCTCCTTTAGGTTCAAGGCTTTTATATGTATTGATCATCATAATTGTCCTGTGACCACGGTTCTTTTTCCCATTGTACAGAAAGGATGATTGAGGTACAGCCACTTTAAGAAGCTTGCCTTAAAGCCGAAGAGCCTGTCAAAGCCTAAATCTGAATCTGGATTAGGTGGATTTAAAAATGGCACTAATTATCTTCATCTGTGATGACACAGGGCTAACAGCTAACAGCCAACTTGTCCTTCACCTCGCAAAATCTGAACAAACAGGCAAGGCAAGAGGCAGGTGCGTCATCTCAGCTGGACACACAAAGAGAAAAATACGATGCTCCCAGGGAATAATTGCGCCTAGGAGCTAGTTTGCAAAATGAATTGCTTGCCTTTGAAAAATGAGGAAGTTTAGTGATGTACGAGAGAGAACTGGTTGACAGAATTGGATTTGAATCTGGCATCACCACTTTATTGCTGGGTGACCTTGAACAAGTTAACCTCTCTGAGCTTCCACTTTCTTATCTGAAACCATATTCATAATATCTGCCTGATAGGGTTGTCAGTGGCTGAAAGGAAGCAATATATGTAAATTGTTTCAACAAGGACCTGGCACAGAGTCTGGGCTCATTATTAATGATGCCACTGCCGATGATGATAGTGACAGTGGCAAAAGTGTGACAGTTTAAGGTGTGGTGAAAAATATCTTGCTTAGAGTAGAGACTGCTTCTTATCTTCCTTGGGCTGACTGCTTGCCATGGGACTTAGTAAAGGGAGAAGAAAAGAAATCACATTTCCTGGGTGCATCATTTCATCTAATGCTTGCCATAAATACCTGCGAGAAATAGATGCTATCTTCACCTCCAGTGCAGATATGGGGCAATTGAGATTCCAAGAAGTTAAAAAGAACAGAAACTCTATCTCTGAAAGCCACTGGTATTAGTGTAAAAGATTATTGCAATCCAATTCCATAAACATTTATTAAGTACCTATTAATCCATATGTTAAGGCTGTAAATGCAAAGATGAATTTATGACTTACACCCAGTGGGTTCCCAGTCAAGCGGCCTAGAAAATCATACACATGTTTAGGATATGATTATAAACATGTAAATTATTTAAATAGCCTAAAGCAGTAGTTATCACCTTTGGCTCTATATTAGAATAAATTACTTGGAAGGAGGATGTGCTTTTTAAATGTACCAGTGCCTGAGCTCCTGCCTAGAGACTGTGTTTTATTGATCTGAAATGAGCCTAGACAATGACACTTAAAAAACTCCCTTAGTGATTTGTATATGAAATCGGTGGTTTAGAGTCTTAGTTGGTAATTTAAAAGCCCTAAGTGACCCTACAAATAAGCCACCTAATTCACTCCCCAAAATGTATATAATACAAACCACAAGGCCAAGTATGGTTTTGCCCTCCTGATACATTAAATCCAAGAGGACTGAGAATAATGAACCCATGTAAGATGGAAGAGAGGGGTTTCCTTAAGACCAAGAAATGTGAGAGAAACTCAGAGAAAGTGGGACTGAGGACTCTGGAGAGGGATCTTTGAGTGATTCCTGATAGATGAATGAGCAGACCAGTGTCCCTTTTGTAAGTACCAGTGGGTTGCATGAAGGTTAGAACACACAGTGGTCACCAACCCTAAATTACACTTGCAACACATGTCAAACAGATCAACACTGCAAATGAGGTTAGTCATTTTGGATCTTCTCTCATTCACTCACAAAACATCAAACAAATATTTACTGAACACTATATGACAGGCATTGTTTGTTCTTATTTTGGAAAAAAATGAACAGAATAAAAGAAGAGATCAAACTTTTTGATCTTTTTTTTTTTTTTTTTTTTTTTTGGCCGGTACCGGGGATCGAACTCACGACCGCCTGCTTGCAAGGCAGGTGCTTATGCCGCTGAGCTAAATCCCCAGCCCCAACTTTTCTGATCTTAATAACTATGCATTGCATCAGAATCTGATCTGGGCTACCTGATAGTGATAGCGGAGAAGTGTGGTGACAGAGACATGGTGACAAAGATGGTGATGATGATGTAATGTATGGTGGTGATGATGGTGGCCGTGGTGATGATGGTGGTGATGATCACCGTCGTTGATATTATGGTGGTGATGATGATGGTAGTGATGAAGATGACAGAGACCCAAACGTAACTCCCATCTACTGAAGGCTGACCATGTACCAACCACCATTCCATTTTCTAGACAAAACACTGGGTTTGAAAGTTTAGCTGCTTGTCTAAGGTCATCAGCTACTTAAGTGGCAGATATCAGGATTCCAAAAGAGGCAGCCTGGGCATATTGGGAAGGACTCTGCCCTCAGAGCAGGATGCCTGTATGTTTTCCCACCACTTTTGTTCTTTGTCACATCAGCTAAATTACTCCTTTGCCTCTTCCTGCCTCCATTTCCTCATCTGTGAAATTAAGTCTCTTAACTTCTAAGGTTTAAAAATTACCTCAAAGGCATAAAGTACCAAATTACAATGAAGGATGTTGAGGGGAACGAAGTGGGGGCTGGTTACCCTAGATGAAGGTTTTATTTTGGGAAGTTGTCAAGGCCTGGTATTCAACCACCCCAAGGAAGTGGAAACATACAGCTGGTGCTTTGCTGATTCAGAGAAATGGCTGGCAGGGAGAGGCGATGCAAGCACACTGAGAATCTGTGTAATCAGAGAAAATGTCTCCATGATTTGCCATTATAATTCTTGGTAACAAACTCTGGGACTCCAGCATCAATACTGATAACTTGTTGAAGGAGGAGGGAGTGAGAAATGAATTAATTTTTTAAACTGCTTTTTGGTAAAGCACTAGGAAGTGTTCTGGGCTCCTAAATTTAAAGGGGGTATTTTTAGCACCTGTAATCAAACCAACTGGCGTAAACACATCTGCTGGAGTGCTGGCATCAAAATGTCTTTGCTGTCTTCATTTTATATCTCTTGCAGCCCTCCTGGGACTGACAGAGACTTTCACTGGTTTTCCTCTTTTCATTAAGTTTTTCCGCATCAGCTCAGTGAGAAAGTTAAATAGGATATTTTCTGTTCTATGGGAAGCTGCTGGGACCCTACCTTGAGAATAACATTAAAATCCTCAAGCTTTAATGAATGTAAGAATTCGTATAAAACACAGATCTCAGGTTCTTGTTCTCTGTCTTAATTAGCTTTCCCGTTGCTGAGACACAATACCCAACACCCACAATTTAGAGGAGGAAAAGTTAATTTAGTTTATAGTTTCAAGAGATTCAGTCCATAGCCGGCTGGCTCCAATGGAGAAGCATCATGGCGGAAGGCTGTGGCTGGGCAAAGTGGCTTAGGTCATGGCAGGGAAGCGATGCCAGAGAGGAATAGGTGCAGAACTATATGTGGTCCCCAAGGCCATATCTCCATGACCCATGCAAACACATCCAGGAGTATTCTTCACTAGTCTGCTAGGCATTTCTGAATCCAATGAAGTTGACACATCAGGATTGACTTCATTTTCAGATTCTGGGGGTGTGGCATGCACCCAGAAATTTGCATTCCACACAAATATGATGATTTTATTGCAAGTAATTCATAAGCCACATTGAAAAAATGCTGGAGATGGGTATCAAGGAGACCTAGGATAAGATTCTGGCCCCATCGCTTACCAGCTACTGACCTTGGGCACATTACTTATTTTTTTCAATATCAATCTCTTCCTGTACAGAATGGGGTATTAATGGTACCTACCCTGTAACTTACTTGTGAAGATTAAATTTGACATCTTGGCTTAACACAGTGCCAAGCATTAGAATAAGCAATTGATAACTGTCAACTGTTTTCATCCTTGTTGATTACAACTAGCTAGGCAAGTTATTTTCCTTTCTGACTCTTGATTCTGCATCTGTAACAGGAGATTAGCTATAATAGCATCTCGAAATCAATTGCAATCGAAGAGCCATGAACAAAATCAGAAAATTTCTGCAAAACTATTACCCGGCACATAGTAGGTACCCTGTAAATATTGGTTCATAAATATTTGTTCAGTGAATGAATGAATTTAATGAGTGATTCAGTACTTGAAAGCTACAGACAATAAGGGTGATCTTAGGAAAACATTTCTCTCCCAAAGTGGGCCTTTAGGAAATGCTTAATTTCCTCATGCTAAAATTTTTGTTCCCTGAATCCTCTTGAATGCTTTCAGCCTCTCACTAACTCTACCCCACTGCCATTCATCTTTGTGACTTTGGGAAGGCCAGAACACATCTCTGGACTTCATTCCCCTTCCCTGTAAAAAGAATTATTGAGAAAACCTATTCATCCCTTATGCTTTGGTATGGTGAGCTTCTGTTTGCACACCTGCTGTGCACTGAACTATGGATTTTTGTCAGGCAACAGTCTCAACTTAGATGTTAGGCAATTGCAGGTATAAAATAAATGGGAACTGAAGGCCTAAATGACTGGTCAGCTAATCACTGATGTTCATTTTGAAGGACTCTGGTCACTGTTGCACATACTTTTAAAGGACTGGCGAAATAAGAAAGCAATGAGCCTTAGTACTCTCATTCATAGCCAGAAAGGTCAGAAAGCATTTCGAGAGAGAGAGAAAGCTGCTGCTGACTCATCTCGCAAAGCTGCACATCAGACAGACGATCATGAGCATTTCTGGTAAATCTGCCCTCATTCATTCAACAGCGTGTGCATGTGTGCTCTGGCTGGATGCTGT